TTTCTTGTATTTAAAACAAGATATAAATGACCGGTATTGTTGAATAGGCAGCAGGATTTGACTATCTGCTCTTAGGACAGGAAGGTTTAAAACTGATGGTTTGGAAATTGACTTTGAACTGGATTTTATGTGAGATTGTATTATACTTGATTTAAGTTTTATATTTCTCTGCAACCTCGAGAATTAGATTGTATGGACTCTGTGTCAGTTTTATTGGGAGAAGAAGTGAGAGAAAATGTAGCAGAGGTTTGGTAGTAGATTCCTGTGAGAAAAATATGTACAAGCAAAGTTAACTTTGGCTTTTGCATTGTATACTTGTATCTGTTGAAGGATGAAAAGTAGATGTCATTTGCTTGGCGTGAAGTTATTGTATATATAAATAGCTAGTATTACATAATCCTTGGTATTGAAGAGATGTTGGGGACATAATAGTGGGATTACATCATAGGTACATTTAACTTACTTGCACTCATCTATGTAGAGTGGAAAAGTGGGAGTGGGGGAACGTAGCATAATTGTTAGCATTCTTGACTGTAAGCAGTAGGAATCAACTTCTGCTAATTGATGCAAAAGAATGTCTTGGAAAAGACCCTTGAGACATACTTAGGAATCAAGGTTAACCAGCAGGAGGACTGGAGCCAAGATGAGGGCATAGGAACACTTGAGTGGGAAGCCATCACTGGTACTTGCTGACAATGTCTCAGTTGTTGCTATGAATAATTTTTCAACTATTCTTGTTCCTGTCACTCAAGTTAAAGTCTTGAGAAAGGAACATTTGATTGTCTGGCTCAGATCCAGAGCTTGTTTCCAACCTGTTAGGGGACCAGGAGTAGAGAAAAATCTGGTCTTTAGTTTCTATTGTGAAAACAAAATCATCCATATCCAAAATTGAACTCATAATGTCTGTGATTTCTCCTAAGGAAAGCAGAACACTTCCTTAATGCCTCACAACTCAGTAAATAAATGTACCCAGTAGTTTAAAATCATCCTGACTTTCCCCATTTTCTTAGCTTCACATATAGCAAATAGTATATGGTCCTGACAGTCTATTCCTTAATACCTTGAATTTAGTTGTTAACTCTTTTTGCTCAAGGCTAGCACTCTGTCACTTGCGCCACAGTGCCACCTCTGGCTTTTTCTGTTTATATGGTCCTGAGGAATCAAACCCAGGGCTTCATGCATGGTAGGCAAGCACTCTACCACTAAGCCACTTTCCCAGACCCTCACTTATTATTCTTGATATTATTTTTACCTAATGGTATAAATTATGTGAGATTGTAAAAAGAGTGAGTGCTCATTTATCTTCCTAGTGTAGCAGTGGGCCTGGCTCCTGGTTGGTCCTTATTATTTTAAGAGGAAACCTATAATGTGTTTGATATGGGTTGGCAATATAGAGACTGAAATTAATTAGTTTTAATGTTCACCAAGGTGCTCTTGTGTGGGGCTCTCTGACAGGAGGGTTGTAAAACTTGCTGTTCTAAAGGTGCTATGGTATGAAGAATATAGTTTAGTGTTGTGTCTTCTCCTCCTCTTTCTTTTTTTTTTCCCAAAGGGAAAACATTTCTCCAGGTCTAATTTGATTGTATGTTTGTTGCTGATGTTAGTTTTAGGCTCTTACTCCCCCCTCTATTTAACAAAAGCTTTTTTAAAATTTAAATTTAAATTTTATTGTAAAGATGATGTATAGATGAGTACTTCTTAAACTTTTCAGAAGTATAGAGAAATAAAACAAAAATAGAAATAACTTAATGATGCATAGAAATGATAACATTTTATTATAGACTTTCCTTTGTATCTGCAGTGTACATACAGTATTGTTCTTTTCCTTTTCTCTATAATTAGATTATAAATTTGGATTTTTAACTTGCTTTTTCCCACTTAATATGTTTTGAATCTCTTTCCATATTAATGAATATTTTTGCTATTGTTTTAGAAATGTTTGAATAATTTGCTTTCACGTTGCTATTTGCATGGATATGCAGTATTAGCCTATCTGCTCAACGATGGAATTTGAATTTCTACTTTCTCACTCTTATACAACAATAGTATAAACCTCCTTAGATATAAAGTCTAGCTTATTGGGTGCCTTTGTATGTTTGAATAGACCATGAAACTCACTTGATTTGTGGGAAAGAACAAAATAGATATTATTTCTGCTTTCAGAGAATGAGAAAATTTTTTGTATAATTAGTACTTAGAGCTGAGTATGCAGTGATAATTTAAGTTGTAAGATGTTCAGAAACACTTTCCTTTTAGACTGTTTGAAGGTATGTGAATTAACAGTTGAACTAAAATACTGCCTATCAGTTTTCTTTCTCTATAATGTATTTCCTAAATTATATTTATATATATATATACACACACACAAATGTATCAGAGGTTTTACTCAATTTTATGTCTGTGATCTTAGTGACTGAGAAAGTTTGAAAGAGTCTAGTTTCCTGGAAAAGCAGTTTATGGATTTTGTTTTTCTTTATTTAGCCTGTATAGCTTGGGAATATACACTTTTTTTTGGTGGGGGGGGCCTAAATTTGAGGCGTGGGCACTGCCCTTGAGGTCTTTTTAGGCTAGCACTATACCACTTTGAGCTTTAGCTCTACTTCTGGTTTTCTGGTGGTTAATAGAAGATAACAGTCTTGGGGATTTTCCTGCCAGGCTGTCTTTGAACCACGATCCTCAGTTCTCAGCCTCCTGAGTAGCTGGGTTTACATGTATATATGCGCCACGGGCATATATACTTTAGTAGAAAGTTATTCAAAGCTGAAGTTGCTCCACTGCTTGAGCCATACCTCCAACCCTGACTTTTGGTTGGTTGATTGGTTTAGAGATATCATTCTGTCTAGGATGGCTTTGAACTTACTCTTCTTTATCTGTCTTCCTGAGTAGATAGGATTAGCCTAGATTAACTTTTATATAAATTAAATTCTGTCTTTGATTGAGAATGGATATAATATAAATACCTATGAATAATTTTGAGTGTTGAATTTACAATTGAGATAATTTCCTAATTAATAAGAAATTATGTTACAGTACTGAATCATATTCACTGAAAGTGGAACCATAGTTATATATGTACTTGGCAGTATGCAAGATAGTTGCCTCCCTCCGCCCCAACCTTTCTTTTCCTGGTCCTAAGGCTTGAATTCAGGTCCTGGTTACCTGAGCCTCTTTGTACTTAAGACTAGCATTCTACCACTTGAGCCACAGTACCACTTTTGGCTTTTTCTGAGTAGTTTATTGAAGATAAGTGTCTTATGAACTTTTCTGCTTGGGCTGGCTTCAAACAGTAGTCCTCAGGTCTCAGCCTTTGAGTGGCTAGGATTACAGGTGTGATAGTTACCTCTTAAAAAAAAACTAAAAAGGAAGGTGGCTCAGTGGTAGAGTGCTTGCCTCGCATGCATGAGACCCTGAGTTCGATTCCTCAGCACCACATAAGCAGAAAAAAACGGAAGTAGCCCTATGGCTTAAGTGGTACAGCACCAACCTTTAGCTGAAGAGCTGAGGGACAGTGCCCAGGCCCAGAGTTCAGGCCCCACGACTGACCCCCCCCAAAAAAAACAACTAAAAAAACACCCCCCAAACCCTCACAAAGTCCTGAACCTGGCCAGGCACTGTAATATCTATAATCTTAGCTACTTAAGAGGCTGAAATCTGAGGATCTCCTTTCCAAGCCAGCCCAGGCAGGAATATCTATGAGACTCCAACTAATCTCCAATTAAATCTCTGATTGACAAAAGCCACAAGTAGAGATGTGGCTCAAGTGGTAGAATGCCAGCCTTGAGCAGTCAAACTATAGGACAATGCATTGACATTGGGTTCAGCCATAACAGTGTTGTGCCTGTGTACTCAGATGTTGAGTTTAAGCCCTAGAAGTACACACGTGCCTGGGCAAACACAATCAGATTAGTGCCTGAGCATGGTATGTGTTTGTAATTCCAACTACTGAGAAGGTGCAAATAGAGGATAGCAATCTCAAGCCATCCATAGAAAAAGTATGACACCTAATCTGGATTTGTACTTAAAGACAGGAGCTCTATTACTTGAGCCATGTCCTGGCTGTTCTTGCTTTTTTTTTTTTTTTGTTACTGCGATGTTAGTGAGATGTCAGAGCCAATCACTCTTGCTTATGTTAATTTTTTTTTTGGCACTCTATTGCTCGAGCTACTCTACTTTCTACGACTAAGAAAAATTCTTTTGGTTTGCACAAAATTTAAAACATTTAAATTTTTTGTCATGAATGAGAAAAAGTTGTATCTATAGTTGTGATATTTGGCTATATCACAATATTGATTCAAAGAGAAAAACAACTAGTTTTGCTAACTGGTATGGTAGAAGAGCCATTGGATAGTTTGAAGATGGGCTATTTGAAAATTACTCCTCACTGGTTTTTCTTTTTCAAAGTGGAAAGAGTAACATCTAATTTATATAGTTTTTGAAACCAAAATGCAACACTCTATATGTTTGTTCACTTTGAAAGCCTTTGACATAAAATCTTATACAAATAAGAAAAACATTCTTTTTTTTTTTTGGCGGTTGTGGGTCTTGAACTCTGGGCTTGGGCACTGTCCTTGCACTCTTCAGCTGAAGGCGAGTGCTCTACTGCTTGAGCCACAGCACCACTTCTGGTTTTCTAGTGGTTTATTGGAGATAAGAGTCTCATGGACTTTCCTGTCCTGGCTGGCTTTGAACTGCCATCCTCAGATCTCAGCCTCCTGAGTAGCTAGGATTGCAGGTGTAAGCAATGGGCGCCCGGCTAGAAAAACATTCTTATGTATCTTAAGTTTGCTTTTGGTCATCACATTGTCTCCAATTTAAAAAATCTTCCATTTCTATGGCAATGAAAAATGTGCAGACTTCATTTGTGGTGTTTTAATTTGTACAATATAATGATTGGTGAATATTACTCCATAAATATGTTGTAAATCTAAGGAAGATCTCATTTCTTATGACCCTATTCTGGATATACTGTTAATATTACCCTTTTAATGTTCCATTTACAGTTACATGATGTTGATTGATGGCACAAATGAAGTTTTTATGATTGATAGAGACAATTCAGTGTTTCATGTTTCAAATCTGGAATTTCCATTTCGTAAAGATCTCCGCATGCATTTGTCAAATACTCTTTTGGATGGGGTAAGTAATTTATTTTGTATGTATGCATTTAAAAATCAAACTTGCCAGTTTTTCCTTAAGTGTGTGAGGAAATTAGAATTGAGTAAAGTTTTTATTGAGTTGTTAAAGTTCATATGCCTTTTTAATTGAATTAGATCCTGTTTTTGTTTTCTTTTTTTCTTTTTGGATCGGTCTTGGGCCTTGAGCTTAGGGCCTGGGTACTGTCCCTGAATCTTTTTGCTCAAGGCTAGTGCTCTACCACTTCAAGCCACAGTTCCACTTCCAGTTTTGGGATGGTTAATTGGAGCTAAGAGTCTCATGAATTTCCCTTCCTGGGCTGGCTTTGAAGGGTGGATCTTCAAATTTCAGCCTCCAGAATAGCTAAGATTACAGGTGTGAACCACCAGAATCTGGCTAGATCCTTGTTTGTTTTTTTCTTCTTTTTATTTTTGCCCTTTTAAAAATTGTAATTCTAGGGGCTGGGAAGGTGGCTCAGTGGTAGAGCGCTTGCCTTGCATGAATGAGGCTCTGGGTTTGATTCCTCAGCACCACATAAGCAAAAAGAAAAAAGCTAGAAGTGGTGCTGTGGCTCAAGTGGTAGAGCGCTAGCCTTGAGCTGAAGAGCTGAGGGACAGCGCCCAGGCCCAGAGTTCA